AAGATATAATTAATTTTTAATTATATTGGATTAATTATTTGGGCCTATTGGACATGGTTATAATTAAATAGGATTAGGATTTATAATTAAAAAAGGTCAAAGCCACAAGCCCGAGGTGGTAAGTTATTGCGCTTGACGCATGGGACAAACCCAATATGCTAAGGCCTCAGTGAGGTGCGCTAAGGGGGTGTGGCAACGGGTCTATACATACCCCTTGTGTTTCTCTCATAACCCTAGTGCAAAAGTGCAATCAGTTTTGTCTCTCATAGAAAAAAGAGAGAAAATCCCTAAGCCAAAAACACCTTAGTGCCTCCCATTTTATTGATGCAAATGAGAAATATTGTTGGCACATTTAAATTCAATCACTTCATCATCCACTGCTAGATTTATCAATGTGAATGCTTCAAGAGGCTCAACACTTAGGGAGCTTCACATGATCAATCATAGAGAGGAACATTACAAGCAAGGGATGATCCAATCATGTGGCATGCACATGATTAGAAATAATACTTTCAGACCTCTACAAGTAATCGATTGCTCTAGTGATTTTTCCTCTCCATCCTATTGTGTCCTACTTACAAGTAAATTCTAATATACCGTAATACTAAGTGACATTCTTTTACAAACTAACAAATTTTTAGTTCTACGAAATTTGTTTAGAGGGATAATACATGTGTCCTCATGGGGTGACTTACTTGTCTCCCCTTGACGATTAATGAACTTTTATCATCTGAACATTATAATATGAATTGTTTATTATCTTTATCATCATCATCTAAAGATCAGATATGCAAAAAATCATTCAATTTAGAGATTGTTTAGCTATCCACACGTGTTAAACTTAATCAACAATTTTGATAACAAATAACATTCTCATGATGAACCGTACATTTATTTTATGCATATGAATTATTATAAGAAATCTAAATTAAATAATTGTTTGCATATACATTCTTTAGATGACGGTAAAAAGAATAAACGGTTCATCTTATAATGTTCGAATAATAAAAGTCCATTAATCATAAGCAAGTAGACAAGTAAGTCCCCTTATGACCATGAGGACACAAGCATTGTCCTTAGAAGAATACATGGCATAGTGAAAGAAAAAAAATAGTACAATGAAAACAGAGAAAAAGAATAATACTGACTAGAACAAGAACCGTACAACGAGTTCCAAGAAGACGAAAAGTAAGACAGGACAGCCAATGGAAAAGAAATACATTTTGAAGGTAGTCCTCTTCTAATTCTCAATACTATGAACTATCCAAATATTTCTCGACTAGAATTCGACTTCTTTATGCAACCGAACGTTTTACACGAGTAATTATCAGCAGAGCAAGTGATGATCATTTTAGAGCTAGAGTGGGATCGAGGAAAACAGTTACAACTGCTAAGTTTTTCGGGGAAACAAACCATGCAGATACAAAATCGCATAATTGAGTTTGATTAAAAGTTTAATAAATTTACGTAGTTTTTTTTATTTTTTGAATGGGTGTAACAAAAATTTACATATTGAATTAGGTTTGTGAGTATAATTTAAGTAGTAAATTTTAGTGTGACCGTGTCACGCCCCGATTCCGACATATATTCAGGATCGACATGTAATGTCACCAAATACCCGTATCTCTAATTTACCCTGCCTCCGGGATACGGCAAAGCATAACTCGAAAATCAAATCGCTTAACAAATAATCAACGAAGCACAATATTATTCTCAAGCCACATTGATCAACTAACATAATCATAATAATAACAATCATATCCAACGTCATTTCTCAATCCCGTCAATTCGTCATTTCGTGATTCAAAGATGCATGATCTTAGCATTTAACTACGTTAATCAATCAATGCGAAAACATATCATTTCACGAATTTAATCAAGGAACTTTATATAATTCTCTATTTAGATTTTGAGTAATAAACATGGTGAATCTAAATTTTACTCACAAGGTCTTTTGTCGGTAATTCCCATTCACTCGAATCTAGAGTTCTAGACTAATCTTATGGAAATGAGCAAGAGCAAGAATTTTAGACCACTCAACAGAATCCAATAACATTGGTTTCCAGGCCACTCGATGGAACCAAAATATCAAGCAGTTTCTCTTAATCTACCCAAATCTATCACATGTATACTTATGCCTACATCATGGGAATGGTGCACTGGGCAAATTAGAACTCAGATAAACTGCGAAGCTCGGATGAGCGGCAATAATACAAGTATGTGATATACAATAAAAGAAAGACCATCGATCACCATTTATAAACCTCGAATATAAAATCATATTTTTACGAAATCATAATTAAGTCACTGAAAACTTTGAAGGAGTCACCCAAACATCCAACGGTTTTTTCTAATTCAAATTATAAGATTCTCAAAAACCATTGTTCATATATACATTAAAAACTAGGGCTAGATGGACACAGTTCGGCCGAAGCCTACATAAGTAACCAAACAGGAAGTGGCCCCCCAAAGCGGATTAACCAAGCAAAGCCACACCTAAGAAAGTAACCAAGTAGGCAGTGACCCCCTAATGCGGATTAACCAAGCAGAGTCACTTCTATAGCTATTAGGAAGTGATCACCTAATGCAGATTAACCAACCATGGACACTCCTAAGCATACAAGACCATAAGGATCGCCCAACGCGGATTAGCCAAGCATGATCCATATATAGTGTGGTCCCCCAATGCGGATTAACCAAGTAGGACCACTAGTGACCCCCCGATGCGGATTAACCACACAAGGTCAAGATAATCAGGTAGGTAGTGACCCCCTAACACGGATTAACTAAGTAGAGTCACACATACATAACTGTTAGGTAGTGATTATCCAAAGCAGATTAACCAAGCATGATCACCCATCAGTATAAATGGCCATAAGGATCGCCTAACGCGGATTAACCAAGCGCAATCCATATATAGTATGGTCCTTCAATGCGGATTAACTAAGCAGGACCACTAGTGACCCCCCCAATGTAGATTAACCAAGCAGGGTCATAGTCCCTTACTAACCCTCAATTTACAAAACATTTCAACATGCAATTCAAATCACTTTTTCACAAATATTACCAATCCATGAATCAAATCACATTTAATAAAAATAGATCGATGGCCAATTATAAAAGAATTACATTTTAACAGAAAACACATTTATAAAACCATGTCATATCCACAAAGGATATTAATATAAAAAATTGGGTAATCACCATATCACATATATTAAAGTCACTCACCGAGACAAGTTCGCAAGGCTTCACTGAGTCTCTAGTAATACTAATTTTAGTAATTCAAATGGTTTAAGACCCGTTGACCAAAAATCAATGGTGGGGTCCACACCCTAGCAATTTAATCTGAAAGATCCGCACATCATAATCTAGATCTGTAATTTCCTAAGGTCCACATTATGCTCAAAGAACAACATATTAAAATCCCATTGCGATTCGACGATCAGATCTCCGCCAATTGCTAGAATTAGGTGGCGGTTAACAATTAATTTTAATAACTTAGAAATCTAATTTAGGCATACGTCGGATTCCCGATCCATCAGTTCCAATTATCCCCAAATATTATGTTCTATAATGCATTAGGATTTGGTGACGATCCAACGTTTGTATTGGTGATTCAAATTGTGATCAAGTGTCACAATGAAACTAAGTTCAAACAATCAAACCACTTCATACATATATCAATTATGAATTCAGGGCATCTAATTGGACTTAAAAAGACATAGTCGGCCTACTGGTCACGCGCCGCTGCGGGTGGCGGTCGGCCGTCCCGACTCGCCGGAAAATTCAACTATTTCAAAAAATTATCAAATTTTACAGGAAAATAGATCTCAGTGAGTGGAGCAAGTTTCATACCTGCGACCAAGTCCAATTTGGCCGAGAAAAGCTCCAATTGCCCTCGAACCCGCCGGAAAACTTAGAAATAGGTGTTCCTTGATTCATCGCGAAAACGAACTCCGATGCCTCATCCAATGCTTGGACCTTGCTCCAGGGGTTAAGGGGAGTCTATTGGTGGTGGTGATTGACAGTCATCGTTGTCGGAATCACCGTAACATGAGAAAACTCGCCGGAAAACCCTCGACACTTTGTGGCTTCAACCTAGAAAAATGGAAAAGAAAAATGGAAATCTAACACTACAGGGATGTAGAACTCGTCAAGAGCTTTCCATGGACACCAAGATCACCAACAACGGAAGTCGGATGAAGGAGATATGGCCAAAATGATTGTCCGGTAAAAAATGACCCAACTCGGGTCTCTCTCCTTTCCCCTCCTTGCTCTCTCTTATGATTGGGCTGCTCTTCTCCGTTTCTCTCCTGCACTCTCTCTTTTCTCCCCTCTTTGCTCTCTCTTATGATTGGGCAGCTTCTAAACATTTATTTCTTTATTTCCCAACAACTAAAACGTCTCTAATTTCTTCGTTATAACTTCATTTCACAAACTGTTTTCGTCTACGCGTTCGTGAGATCAAGCTCTATTCGAAAATATAAATTATGACCTCGAAAGGTCTATGGAATTTAAATAATTAATTTCGAAACTTCAACCCTCATAACTAGTTTAATTAAAACCAAAATTCAAATAAATTAATATAAATTTCCGAAAAATAATATAAAATATTAATAATACAAATACGTAGATTATAACAGTGAAATCCAAGAACGAGATTTCACATACCGTTGCACATGGTGGTACACCACGTGTCATGACATAAATAGTGGGATATGTATGTCAAAAAGTTAATCGTCGTACCCAGTGCACAAGGCTCCCGCTTTACGCAGGGTCTGAGAGAGGTGAATGTCGGCTAGCCTTACCCCCATTTATGGAGAGGCTGCTCCCAAGTGTGTCAAAAAGTTAATAACTTAAAAAAATATAATTTTTCACCACTTATATAAAAACACATGGTGTACCATCCGTGTTCCCGTCATAATTAAAAAATTTATCGTCCTCATGATATATTAAAGCATGCAATGCAGTTCTTTTCCTATCATGCAACCAAACAGGAGACCGAAATCCGTCAACTTACTCCATCGTTTCTCACTCCATCTCTCTCCTCTCTTTCTCTCTCTACACATCTTCCTTCTGAACCTGTGAATGGATGCATCTCGCACATCTCTCTCTCTCCAACAACAGCTCAGCTGGAGAGAGAGGGAGAGAGCGTCAGACCCTCCTTCCTGTCAAAACCCCAAAAACCTTCGGTCCCTCGCGTTTGTCGGGGCCATGTCCGCACGCAAATCTCTATCTCTCTCCGCCCACCTCCAAATCGCAACTCACTTCCTCCCCCTACCCTCATTTTTTTCCCTCTCTTTTTTCATTTTTTCATTTTTTTTGGGACTTTCCATCCATGTCCTCCTCTCCTTTCTCCCCTCCCTACTTTCTGGTTTCTCAATCAACATACCAAAATCAATTTAATTATTTTTATTATTGTAAGGAATTAATTGATAATTAGAAGAAAAAGAATCAGAAAAATCTGCCAGCCAGCCAGCCAGAACTCCTCTGCATCCCACCAGCACTTCATTTCTTCATTTTCTGGTGCAGGGATTTCTGGTCTGGATTTTTGGGTCTCCCATTTCTGAAGCTCCAATCTTTTGTGTACATTAATTCATTCTTCCTTCTATACAACAACATCCAAGTTTTGTTTATCAAGTTTTGACATTTGGGATTGGATAATTTTCTCACCTTCCAATTTTGTGCTGCATTTTTTTATAGGGAAAGAGAGAGTTTTTCCTTCCCCATTTCCTGAATTTTGATATTTTGTGGAATTTGGGTATGTGGGTAGGGATCAAATGCTTATAGATATGTGAATTCAGGTTACTTTGTTTGGATGAAAGAGGGATACCCAGATTGAGAATTTGTGGAGAAATGATGGATTGAGGAGGGAAACTCTTGGTTTCCCAGAAAATGCAGGTAACCTATTTGATTAAAGCTCTCACTCAAACAATTTGCGGAAAGGGGTGATTAGTTTGGAAGAAATAGAAAACAGGGGATTTAGGGAGCTGATAAAATTATGGGCTGTCTTTGCTCGAAAGCAACATCGGAAGAGGGAAAGGTGGAGCAATCCGAGATAGCAGAACGCCCGTTGAAGGATTATTCGGTTCAGTTGATTGCTCCTACTCCCTCATTGAGAGATGACTTTGTCACAGAAGTAGGCGGTGGTGGTGATGGGGCTGAGGTATCAGTGCGCAGGTCATCAAGAACAGCCTCAAAAGCAAACGTGGGGAACAATGGTAGTAAGAATGAAGACCATCAAAGAGGGGCAACACTGGGTTTAGGAGCAAGTGGAAGGCAAACGGTGATGTCTAGGATAGTGAGCATGCCGCATGGGGCACAAGGAGAACAAACTGCTGCTGGATGGCCGTCATGGCTAACTTCGGTTGCTGGAGATGCCATCAAAGGGTGGGTGCCTCGACGGGCAGACTCCTTTGAAAAGTTAGACAAAGTTAGTTCTAATTGTTGCTTCCCTACTGCATCTTATTAGTGCTTTAAATGTTTGCATCAATTCTCTCTTTGTCTAGTCGTTTCCCTATTGAGTTTTGGTATTTCAAGTTAATGAATTTTGAAATGTGCTTTTGCCTAAATTTGAAACAGTAATTCTGTCATTGACCCAAAAAAGAAACGGTAATTCTGTCATGATATTTACAGAAAGCTGCGTCTATCATGTTCGGGAGATAGTACTAAGTTGAATTCTTATTCTCGGATTCGTGCATTATTAATTACTTTTAAATGGATATCAGTTTTGCGCGAAGTTAAGATAGAATAGCATCATGTGCATGTTTTGAATTTGTGGATTGTACATTTGATATGAAAAACGGTAGACTCAAATTGACGCTATATATGTACTTGGTAGCTATGTAATTTATTGTGTTAGATGGGGTTTGTAGGTGCGCTCTAGACAAGAGTGTTTGTATTAGGGTGAAGTATTTTAATCATCAATTGATGCTTTCTTTGCAGATTGGACAAGGAACTTATAGCAGTGTATACAAGGCTCGCGACCTGGAAACTGGTAAAATCGTTGCATTGAAGAAAGTACGATTCGTAAATATGGACCCAGAAAGTGTTCGTTTTATGGCAAGAGAAATCTATATATTACGTAGACTTGATCACCCAAATGTTATGAAGCTCGAGGGTCTAGTCACTTCAAGAATGTCATGCAGCTTATACCTTGTCTTCGAGTATATGGAGCATGACCTTGCTGGTCTAGCAGCAACACGTGGCATCAAGTTTACTGAACCGCAGGTACTCTCTCTTCGAGTATATGGATCCCTTTCTCTTGTACCATTCTCCAGTTTCTATTTATTTCTTTTTTGAGAAATTACTTCTTGGCTGCAAAAACGAATAAGTATTTCAAGAATTACTAATGTTTGAATTTTGTGCTTCTGATATCTGGTTTGTACGTTCTATTTTCTTCCAGTGAAATCATAGTTTTATATCTTACTTTCTATAAATTTTGAGCTAAAGTGTACTTGTTGCACTGCAACCAAATATTCTGTGATTATAACTTGTGTGTTTGAATTGCAGATAAAATGTTATATGCAACAACTGCTTCGCGGACTTGAATACTGTCATAGTCAAGGTGTCCTGCACCGAGATATCAAGGGTTCAAATCTTTTACTTGACAATAATGGAGCTCTCAAGATTGGCGACTTTGGTCTGGCGACCTTTTATGAGCCTGACCAAAACCAGGCATTAACCAGTCGTGTTGTGACTCTGTGGTATAGGGCACCTGAACTTTTACTTGGTTCTACTGAGTATGGAGTTTCTATAGATCTATGGAGCACCGGCTGTATCCTTGCGGAAATGTATGCTGGAAAGCCTATCATGCCCGGCAGAACAGAGGTAAAATTGACAATCTGTAAGATAACTTATTTTTTCATTCCTAGTTTCATGAGTTTCTTCATTCTTGCTGTAACTACGTCACCGCTGGGTCCGATAAGTGAATAATACTGGACATGAATAATTAGTCCTTCCAGAATAAATTACAAATGAGTCTAATCTTCTGGTTTCATATATTTATTCATACAAATTTTCCTTAAGTATAGTAATAGTTCTAAAATTAAGTCTTCAGTGTTTTGATTGGCAACTAATGTTGCTGTTATTCAGGTGGAACAAATGCATAAAATTTTTAAGCTTTGTGGTTCGCCATCTGAGGAATTCTGGAAGAAAACAAAGTTACCCCTTGCAACTAGTTTCAAACCTCAACAACCTTACAAGCGTCGTATTGCTGATACTTTCAAAGACGTCCCTCCTTCAGCTTTGGAGCTTATTGAAAAACTCCTTGCAATAGAACCAGAGACTCGGGGATCGGCTGCTTCAGCGCTTAGTAGTGAGGTAAATTTGAGCTTCTCCTTTTAATACTATAGCCATGTGCCTTCATGATGGTGTTTAATACTATCGACATTCCATGATTTCATTTGCTAATATGGTTCGTGTAAATATTGCTCATGTATCTTTTATCTGGCTCTGTTTATTGCAGTTCTTCAGTACACATCCTCTACCTTGTGATCCCTCAGATCTACCAAAATATCGTCCGAGCAAAGAGTTTGATGCAAAGCTTCGGGATGAGGAAAAACGGTACTTCTCTAAGAGGCTTTCATTTCTTTGACTCTCTTACTTGTACGTATTGAAGAGATATGTACACCATAGAGAATATTAACAACTCGATTCCTTTTCTGTCAGTTTCAGTTACGATATTTCACTTGTCCTGATATAAATCCTTCCCTAAAACAATAAATTGGTATATAGTACGTTCAGAGGTAGGCGTATCTTAAACATGTACTTGAGGCAGGCTGTGATGGGTACTTAGAAATATATGTTCTAGGAATGCTGACACAGGTCGGTTTATGGACGGTTTTCTCAACTTGTTTCATTATACTAGTATATGTGGATGACATGGTGGCCTATAGCAGAAAATAATATCAGATAAGCTGTAACTAATGATAAATAAGTCCGCAGAATGATCTGAAGCCTAGATTAAAAAATCCATCTTCTTTTCTTAAATTTCAGGCGAAAAGCCGATGCATTTAAAGGGCGTGGTCCTGAATCTGTTAGAAGGGGTTCAAGAGATACCAAGGCACCATCGCCAGAATTTAATACTCCGGGAGAGGTATAAAAATGAATTTGACACATCTACCATTTATTTAATTGTCGATGCTATATATTTGGAGCTTCACTCTTTTGGCTAACATAAACTTAGCAGGGACAGAGAAACCGGAAAACCACAGGTCACAAGTACATGTCACAGCGAGAAACTGTCTCCGGCTTTGCAATGGAACCACATGGAGGAGCTAGGTCAAATGGGTACTCTCATTGTAGTACAATGGTACACCCTAGTGCAGTAGGATCGTCATTGAATAAGACAGCAGGTTCTACAAGTAGGCCAGAGCTAAGGTCGCAGAGATCTCATATGCCTCAAGCTGCAGCAGACTTATTAAGTTCTTCCAGTAAGAAAAAAGAAACTGTGGCTGGCAAAGAATCCAGAACGGTAAGTACCTGTTTTTCGTCACTCACTTCACCTCCTTAAACTTTTATTCTTTCAAAGTTTTTGGCTAATCATGGATTGTAGAGTTAGCTAATGATCTCTTGATCTTTGCCCCGCTTGTTAAAATCAAAGTTTTAAAAGACGCTAGGCGCTAATCAGGCGGCGAGCTGGGGCCTAGCGCCTAGGTGGCTAGGCGGACTAGACGGATTTAAGTAAATCTATTGTATTTCGTGTAAATTAGTGTCTGTTTATACTTAAAATATATATAATTTCATCATAAACTAGAAAATAGAATGACATATATATTATGAAGTATTGGAACATAATGAAAACATGGGGAGCAAACATATAATGTGTGTTTATTTAAGTGTTCAATAAATTTCTTACAATTTATTGGAAACAATAAAATGCAAAAGGAAAGTTATCTATTTTCCATCTAAGTGAGTTGCCATCTAGGCAGGTGTCTAGGTGGGTCTGGGCTGGCTAGACAGGCGCCTTATCAGGTCTAGGCGCCCTTTCATAATTTTCAACGCCTAGGCATTAATCGGGACGGTGGCCAGCCGCCTAGCGCCTAGACAAGGGCCTAGGCGGGGATTTTTAGAACAGTGGTTAAAATAAGTTTAGACACGTTTTTGAGCAACGGAGCATAATTTACGAAAGAATGCACACGCTTTCAGTGATATTGATCATACGTGCTTTTCTTCGTTCCTCTTCTTTTCAGATTCTTTTCTGTTTGTAATATTATTTTCTTGTACGACAGTAGTCCTGAATAGTGAATAATGAACTAACTTATTTGTATGGTTTCAGGGCTATGTACCTAAGAACAGAATCCATTGCTCTGGACCATTGGTGCCTCCGGGGGGAAATCTTGAGGACATGCTCAAAGAGCACGAAAGACAAATCCAGCAGGCTGTACGTAAAGCACGAGCGCGTTGACAAAGACCAGGACCAATGAAAACCTTTGATGATGACCATTAAAGACATATCTCGGTGATCCTGAACGGTTGATATTCTGCTGCCTCTTCTATAACCATGCTGATCTGCTCAGTGCTCACCAGATACAGCTGCTTGCACCAGCCAAGTTTGCTAATTAACCATGAAAACCAGTGAGAAATGTCAGCATGGAAGCATAGCGAAGATGAAGGTGGTTATATGTTCAGAAAAGCGATGTAATGGGGTGGACGATATTCTGGTGTACCGCGTAAATTAGAACCGAGAAGGAACTTTTGGTTTTTTGTTGGTTGCCGGACAATATATAGGTTTGGGGCTGCTTTCGCCTTGTACAGTACAGAGGAAGCATGTTGTTTATGTACATTGTAAGATAACAATTTTCTTCTCTGAATGATTCATTTTTCTTGTAAGAAGAGAAAACGCTCGATATCTTGTTATGTGCAGTAACATCTTAATCAATCTGTGGTTGTCTCGCAATCGATACCGAGTTATTTTTTCGATCGCTACTGAACTTTAGACTCAACAGTAATTTCTAAATAATTTGCAGACGAAGACCCTCTGCAGTGCATATAGACGACAGTTTGCATGCAAAAACCATAAATAGCACAACTTTATTGGGGGGAAAAAACAAATAAAAATGAAAGGACGAAAGGAAAAAGAAGAAATTAAACAAGACAGTATGTACAAATTTGAAAAGCCAGCAAACTTTCTGTACAATTGGCTTAAACATATACATCGACTGCGCGACTTGCTTAAACCCTAGAACTAGGTGTTGTTTAGTGAGCACGAATAGGCTCATAAGTTAAGCTACATATCCTGCTTCGGCTTTCGACTCAATTCAGAATACCGGCCACCCATTTCCTGCAAAATTTCTTCCCACAAACTTTCTTTTGAGGACTCCGATGAAGCCCCAAAAATCAAATTTGAGCTGCAGGCAGCTACATACCAATAATCCGATTCAATCTCCTCTGCCAACTGATCCAGCTGCCACCCAGCGTAGCCGACAAAGAATCTGAAATCCTGAGGCTTAAGAACACCCTTCTTTACTAGCGCTGCAGCTTCATCCAGGCTGTTACGAGCACCAAAACAAAGCCCAGGGATCACCTCTTCAAACCCAGGAAGGTTTGACTTGCCCCCGCTCTTTAACAAAAACATGCTTGCCTCAAGAGGCCCACCAAAATGCAACGAACAATCAGAAAATGTGGTTGCAAGATCAAGATTTGTGGGCTTCATGTGTTTAATCTTTTTATGGAGTGGCCTGTTGATAACAACTCCAAATGGTCCCTCTTCTGGATGTCTGCTTCCTGATCTGAGGAGGAGAACGACAGTTCTTTCAAAGGTGCGAACCCCGTCAAGCTTTTCTGTGGCAACAAGGACACAGCCCGTCTCTGGAACGGAAATAGGATGAGCCCACTTCAGGCCTAGAGGTTTTGACTGGTGGGGTTCCCCACCTTGGTTCTGAGCATCAGGCTCAGCCTTTTCTTCCTGTTGAAAGATTCCAGAGTAAACTTGACAATTAATGGAGGATCATCATTAGAAATGTTTATATAAGACAATAATGAAGGATCATCATTAGAAATGTTTACGATATGGACGCTAGAATTACTAACATCGTGCGGACCAAAAACCTTACAAGGGCACTTATTTGCTCCAGCCATTAGATTTGTTCAATATTGGACTTGAGATGCATATAATCAAAATAAGGAGGAAGAAAACTCGTTCACTATATATGGATTGAAGCCCTCATAACCAAAAGGCCACAGACCAATACCAGATATGAAGTCTATGGAAGGGTATCGAAACTTCTACAGAGCTGTCTGTCACCATCAACTTAGAGGACTAATGAAAATGAAATACATGAAAGGAAGACAAGACATATTTTGATAAGAATAAAAAAATTTATTAACAAAGAACAAACGAAAAACATGGAAAAGTGGTCCAGCAGTACACAACTGTTGGGGAAGCTGGAGATTTGCTTTGTGTGTACTCTTGTCGTGTGATATTTGTGATATGATTGGCCTGTGTGGGTGAGTTTTGGTTTCCATAAAATCAGGGGTATGCGTAAGGGTCGCATGGTGCCTTGGGTGGTGTTGTTTAATTTTCAACCTAGGGAAACCAACTGTGTCAGCTCAGTTGGATCTCATAACCAACCAAACCAACCGATCACCTACAAACTGAAAAGGTCACACTTGAACTAACCCATAACAGGATGATTCAAAATCAGTAAGTCTTATTATCACCTTGAAAAAAAAAACGATTAACTAAATAAGGGAAGAGTAGTGAAAATATATTGATGAGTATTATATTAGAACATGATAATTATGCATTTTAGTTTCAAAGGACATTAGCTCTTCAGGAAAGTAAAACTTCACCTGCTCCATAGTATATAGCCTTGCTCTGACCTCTCTCCAGTCCGACTTTATCTGACAATTTTTCTGGGATGAAGTGTCATTGAAGTTTTCAGAAGAATTGTTTTCTTGTTCACTATCACCTTCTGGAATAGATCGGTCATCATTTCCTGTAAACCCAATGGAAAAAATTATTTGTGATGCAAGTAGCTATAAGTTGTAACAAATAAAAGAGAGAAATTTACAAGTAAACCACTGGTACCATGCTCAGTGAAAGTAGGTAATATGTGAAAGCTAAAAACCTACATTCATGTAGGCATACAGACATAAAGACATGATGCGCATAAGTGTACACACACAGATAGATAGATAACTAAGAACTAACACCTATCATATTTATATTTCTTTTTACCGAAAGGTGAATTAAATGGAGGACAAAAGCAAAACTTTTATACCCAAAGTCATTTGAAAAGACAGCCCCAATAAAGAATCATTTGAAAAGATAGTCTCGATCACAGCTCTAGCTTCAACAGATTTCTTTTTTCTGAAAAAATCATCATAGCATATGGACCAATGTATCGATTCCAAAAGAGTTTCTGTTACCATCTTTGTCAAAATAAATTCCCTCAACAAAAAGAAAACTGCATTGAGTACCTAATGTTCCTACAATTTCTTCTTGTTATTTCAATTATTTATAGCTCCCCTAGCATTGATTATGTTGATGCACAAAACCGGAGGTCTTGAAACAACGTAAATCCAACCGTGAATCTGCAAGAAATTTAAATAACACAAGATGTATCGTGGTTCACCCCAAAGTTTGGGCTACGTCCACACTGATATTGTATTTATCTGAGAGGTGAGGGAGAGAACTTTTGAATATGAGAGGGGATGTGAGAGGGCTGAGAAGGCTTCAGAAATGGTCTCCCCTATTGTGAGGGTGAGGAGTCCTTTTATAGAATAAGAGCTCCTCACTTATTACATATTTACCCCTTCCTTTATTACATACTTACATTTAAATCCCCTAAGTATTTGTACGAGATCTAAATACGGAAGCGCTAAATATGGTATAAACAGTAGTCCCCCAAGTCTTCAGTCAAGAGAGTCTTTTGGCTGGAGACTTGAAATTCAGTCCATGTATGGGCCGAAGCAACTAGATGTTGTTTTGACCTGATGTTCGATATGAGGTGGTGCTCAATTTGAAATGATGCTCAACTAGAAGTAACACATGCTGCGAGGCTGCGAGGCTCGTGGCTTATGTTGCCTTGGTTGGCTCGGCTTGTGGCGTTGAAGGTGACGGAGTCCCTTTTATAGAATAAGGGCTCGCTCCTCAATACATGAATGATGGGCTAGAGTTGATGCTCTCTAATGATGGTGAGGGATTCTCTTTTATAAAATAAGGGCTCGCTCCTCAATACATAAGTGATGGGCTAAAGTCCCCCAAATATTTTTCATGAGGCCCAGTTGAGGCCTTGGCTGGCTCGGCTTGTGGCATTAAAGGTGAGGGAGTCCCTTTTATAGAATAAGGGCTCGCTCCTCAATACATGAATGATGGGCTAGAGTTGATACTCTCTAATGATGATGGGGGAGTCCCTTTTATAAAATAAGGGTTCGCTTCTCAATACATAAGTGATGGGCTAGAGTCCCCCAAATATTTTTCATGAGACCCAGTTGAGGCCTTGGCTCGGCTTGTGGCGTTGAAGGTGAGAGAGTCCCTTTTATAGAATAAGGGCTCGCTCCTCAATACATGAATAATGGGCTAAAGTTGATGCTCTCTAATGATGGTGAGGGAGTCCCTTTTATAGAATAAGGGCTTGCTTCTCAATACATAAGTGATGGGCTAGGAGTGATGCTCGCGGCGATGCTCTCTAATGAAGGTGAGGGAGTCCTTTTATAAAATAAGGGTTCGCTCCTCAGTATATGAGTAATGGGTGCTCCTTAATGAAAGTGAGGGAGTCCCTTTTATAGAATAAGGGCTCGCTCCTTAATACATAAATAATAGGCTAAGTCCCCTAAGTATTTTTCATGAGGCTCAGTTAAGGCCCAATATATGGTACATAATGTAGTCCCCCAAGTCTTCAGTCAATAGAGTTTGTTGGCTGGAGACTTCAAATTGAATCCATGTATGGGCCGAAATGGCGGTTGTTCGAAGGCGGTATTTGTATACCCTGCACTGAAGCTTTGCAAGTGAAGCTTTGAAGCTAGAGCTCTGTAAATGAAGTTTTCGAAGTTGGAACTTTTGTAAATGAAGCTTTTGAAGCTAGAGCTCTGTAAATGAGCTTTGAAGCTAGAGCTCTGTAAATGAAGCTTTTGAAACTGATTGACATGAGTGATGCTCATGAATGTTTATGTTGATTGACATGAGTGATGCTCATAGATGTTGTCATGAGTAATGTTCATGAATGTTAACATGAATGATGCTCATGAATGTTGACATGAATAAAAAGGTCGTACCCAGTGCACAAGGCTCCCGCTTTACGCAGGGTCTGGGAGAGGTGAATGTCGGCTAGCCTTACCCCCATTTATGGAGTTATAAATGTTTATGTATGATTGTCATGAGTGATGCTCATGAATGTTTATGTATGAATGACACGAGTAATACTCATGTATAATTTGAAGTACTGGGCGTACTTTTGATCACCTGGTTGATGACATGAAGGAGAGTACGGATTGTACATTTCATCACCTGGTTGATGGCATGAATGGCTAGTTGCCAAATGATATTAGAGTACGGGTTGTACATTTCATCACCTGGTTGGTGGTAATAACGGCAGGTTGCCGAATAATTTTGGAGTACTGGGCGTACTTTTGATCACCTGGTTGGTGGTAATAGCGACAAGTTGCCGAATAATTTTGGAGTACTGGACGTACTTTTGATCACCTAGTTGGTGGTAATAGCAGCAGGTTGCCGAATAATTTTTGGAGTACTGGACGTACTTTTGGTCACCTGGCTGATGATAATAGAGGGTCTGGCTCTTTTGCGCATATGGGCCTTCGCCCTCCACATGACATTGCAGCCCATTATTTTGGGCTTGCTGGTTTTTTTTTTTTTTTAATTACCCTCTGATGGAGTTTATACAGATGTCTCCGAAAGATAATAAAAA